AAGGATGTGACGGTATCTTTCAAGAGGTTTTGCTTTAAACAAAAAACTCTATTCACTAAAAAAGAAGCTGCTAGTCAGTGTCTGGGACAGGAGTAGACCGCCTTCAAAAAGGCCTGGGGTGTATTCTGCTCATGCTGGTGACCCCGAATATCTGTGTTGCCTTCACAGCATGTCTAGTTAGTGTTGCAGCTTGCTCTTAGGTGAAGGGGCTAAAAGGAACATTGCTGGAGATGTGTGTGCACTCGAATGAAGAAAATTCATCTCCAGGTTTTGCAGACTAAAGTTACTGGTACAGAAGTTACAAAATTTGCAGTCTTAAGGAAGGATCATGGAAATGTTGGGCTGAAAGGGCCTCGAAAGGTCACCTAGTCCATTTGCACATGCAGATGCAGGGCTAAGTATACCTAGGCCATCCCCGACAGGTGTTTTTCTAGACTATTGTAAAAAACCTCCAATGCCAGAGATTCCACAACCTCCTTAGGTAACCTGTTCTAGTGCTTAACTATCCTGATAGTTAAAAAGATTTTCCTAATATGTAATCTAAATCTCCTTTGCTGCAAACTAAATTGATTACTTCCTGTCCTACCCTCAGTGAACATGGAGAAAAAATGGTCCATAACTGTTGTCCTTCGAGATGTGTTGCTCATTTCCTTTCCACGTTAGGTATGTGCGTGCTGCACATTTTCCCCTTGTGCCAGTATACAGGGCACTACAGGCCCTGCACCCTCTGTTCCTTCTTGCTGGCTAACTTCAACAGGTGGGTCATGGAATGGACATGAGCAACACATCTTGAAGAACAACAGTTACGGAAATGTTAGTAACCGTTTTTTCTTGTTCAAGTGCTTGCTTATGTCCGTTCCACATAAGGGGACTCAGAAACAGTACATCAGGAGGTGGGCTCAGAGTTCATGGACATGCAGATTGCAACAGTGCTCTCCCAAACCTGGTGTCATCTCGAGCCGGTTGGGTGACAGCATAGTGGGAGAAGAAGGTATGCACTGATGACCAAGTTGTGGCTCTGCAGATGTCTTGGATCAGGACCTGGGTCAGAAACAGTGCTGAAGAGGCCTGAGCTCTCGTGGACTGAGGAGTCAAGACAGCAGGAGGTGGAACATTCACCTGTTCATAGCATCCTGGGTTATCCAGGATAAGATTATCTGGGCTGAAACCGGTAGGCCTTTCATCCTCTCTGCTACTGCCACAGAGTTGCCTGGATGCTGTTTGGCTTGACCAATGCCCTTGAAACATTTAGTAAATGACATGTTCAAGGATATCCTGGACCAATACACGATTATCTACCACAATTACATGCTGGAATTTTCTGAGAATCCAGAGCAGCACTACCATCATGTTGGGTGTGTCCTGGGGAGGCTACGGAAGCATGGGTTGTATGCCAAACTGAAAAAGTACACCTTTGAACAGGCCACCATTGAATTGTTGGGGACATCATCTCCCCAGAGGGAATCCAGATGGATCCACAGAAGGTGGAAGCCATCCATAACTGGACAACACCCTGGACTCTCTGGGAACTTCAGTGGCTCCTGGACTTTGTGAATTTTTACAGGAGCTTCATTGCCAACTTCTCCTGATGAATAACTCCTCTGACCTCCCTCCTCTGCAAAGCCATGTAATTCACTTGGTCACCTGAAGCCCAGCTCGCTTTTGACTAGCTAAAGGTTACCTTCATTTTAAGGAACTGTTCGCCATAAAAAAAGACCTTTGCAGAATGGTGTCACCACTTGGATAGGGCTCGGCGCTCAGTACGGGTCTTCACCAACCATAAGAACCTCAAGTACCTCCGCAAAGCCTGAGTGTTGAACCAGAGGCAGCTAAGGTGTGTCTTGTTTTTTTCTTGGTTTGAGTTCACAATTACCTACCACCCAGGAAAGCAAAATGGGAAAGCCAATGCTCTATCATGGAATCGAAAATATTACTGGGGAAGTGAAGAACTGACTTCTGAACACCCCTACCTCTTCAAGCCTGGTAACTTTGCCAGAGCCACGATCCTGCGAGACCTGCTTTCTCTCATCTGGTCCTCCCCGAAGAAAGACCCGCTGGCCCAAGGGGCACTGCTCCTGCCATTGGGAGCTAAGAGGTACCATTCCATGACAGATGGGGGGTAATGTACTTCAACAAACACATATATGTGCTCCATGGTGCCCCTGACTGGAGGTGCTACAGCAGTGTCATGATGCTCCATTGGTGGGTCACCTTGGCCACTGGAAGATCTCTCACATGGTTGCCCATTTTTTCTGGCAGCCCCGCATGCTGGTCAAGGCCCAAGAATATGTAGATTCCTGCAAGTGCTGTGCACGTACCAAGACACTCTGAACCCGACCTAAGCCAGACTCTGTATAGGTCCTTCCCACCTGTATAGGATATGTTAGACACATCTAATTTTCCTGGAGAGAAAACGTTTGGGTTTTTTTTTTTTTTGCTGGACTCTAAAAATCTATTGTCATTTTACTGTAATTTCTTTTTTCTGGAGACCACTCGAGTCAATATTCAGTGTGAAATACTTTCATTCTTGGTTCCAAATGAAGAGAATCATGCTGATTTATGGTGCAATTCCTTGTCACTTATGGAATCTGGAGGATTTCCAGGACAAGCTGTAATAACCTGGATTCTTCCTTTCTCTTTTCCATTCATTACAGTGCCCATATTGGAAAGGGACTGTGCAGTTGTTTGGCTGGCATTAGGAATACATCCTCCCATCTCTGCCAATAAGGAGTAATCAGAAATACTTCCCTTAACACGGCTGCTAAAATGACTAGAGATGGGGCAGGACCACACACCATTTCCTGGGGTGTATTGCGGTACCTATTAGTAACCACTGAAGGAGGGAAACAAACAAGCCTATTTCCCATTGTGACAAAGTCATAATGAGTGGACAAGAGATGTCCACACCCAAAATCATTTCTACATCACACATGCTGGGATCAGCTCCATAAATTCTGGGAAGACTCCTGCATATTTAACACCACAGGATCAGTAATATCTTGTGTTGAACAAAGAACTGAAGGAAAAAAATTTTCCCCAGGTGTCCCTGCTTAGTAGCCACAGGCCTCTATATAGCAACATATACTAAATTAGCTGTTCCAGGGGGTCACATGGAATTTCTGATATTTCCTCTGACCCTAAAAATATCTCAGATCTAAGGTAGACCTAAAACTTCCTGTCTTTTTTTTTTCTCTGCTGAGTCTCCAGCTTGTGAAACATAAAAGGGAAGCTATACTAGACCACCTTTGAGCAGAAAAATACATGTAGTTCTGCTATAAGAACCTGAGAGAAATGGAGTCTAACACCAATGTTTCAGAAGGGAGAAAACATTTTCAAAGGGAGCAGCATTGTCCAGTGGTTAAAACACAAGACAGAGAGACAGAAAAACCATGCCTTATAGTGATTGATGCAAGGAGCTCGATCTAGTTCGCTTAAGAGTATTAAGGGGTGACCTGATCATAGTCTACAATTACCTACATAGAAAACACATATTTGATAATGGGCTTCTCAATTTAACAGACAGAGGTATAATATGACCCAGTAGCTTGAAGTTGAACCTAGACACATTCAGACTGAAAGTAAGGCGTAGATTTTTAACAGGGAGGGTCATTAACCACTGGAACAATTTATAGAGGGTTTTGGTAGATCTTCATCACTGGAAATTTGAAAATCTAGATTGGATTGATTTTATTTTTAATGATATGCTCCAGTTCAAAAGGAATTCTTCTAGGGAAGTTCTATGGCCTATGTTTTACAGGAGGTCAGACTAGAGGATCACAATGGTCCCTTTCTGGCCTTGAAATATATGCATCCATGAAAAAACAGAAGTCTGGGTTCTTTTGTCCGTGAGTCAGTGATTTACTGTGTAACCCTGGGGCAAGTTGTGAGGAAAAAGGTAAATTAAGAGGATAAAAGAATATTGCGGCCTCATTTCCACTATAGCTGATCCCTGACAGCTTTCTTATTTTTTAAGATAATACAGCTACTTGACACTTGAATAGTGTAAACTGCTGCTATCCCTGGACGCCTGAAATGATCTGTTATTCTCTCTCTGTTTCACTTAATTGTTCCGTTCACAGAGGGGGCTGGGGGAGCTTGTTTTCCAAACAAACTTTCCCCTCCAGAGACAGGAAACATGTTGACCAAGGAATCTCCCATCCACAAAAATGATATTTTGTTCAAGACTGCCATCCATCCATCCAAATACATAAAGACTGAAGGAACTGTCTGTCATAATGACCTGTTCTCTGCTAGTCACCCATACATGCTGTTTTCATAGAGAAATCTCTGGTACTATATCTGCTCACTCTTTAAAAAAACCCCAAAACCTGAAAGTGGTTTAAGCTGGCCTCAAAAGCCACTCAGTCAGAAAAATTCTGTTCTAAGGTCACTGCCTGATTTATTATTTAATAAAACAAAAACCAGGCAAATGCTGTTAGAAGAAACTATGGGCCAGATCAGCATCAGAAGAAGCCTATGCTGCATCAGCCAGAAGTCCCAAATTTGAAACCCTTGTATCTCCTATTTATGCCAAGCACAGCTGTAGATATCCGCTATTAGACGAAGATCACACTGTTTAAAAAAGTGAGCTTTACATGTAAATCCAGATGATCTTGTATGTAAGTGAAACCACAGCACTGGTTCCAAGGAACAAATGACAGAAAAGCACAGTCAGGCCTTGTATACGCTAGACTTATTTTCCTCAAATTTCCTGCCGTGGCTGCCGCCAGCAGTTCAGCTTCACCAGTGGTAACGCGAAGTGCAGACAATATGCTGGTGCTGCTGGGGTTCCAATCAACTGTGTCAAAGACCTGCTTTGACCATGGAAGATGGCACATTGGTTAAACCACTGGCTGGTCTACACTAGTGCTTCCCCTGGGGCCACCGCTAGTTCAGCTATAGAGATGGTAGGGAATTTTAGTTAAGAAGGTACCCCTTAGGCTGGAGGGTTTAGTGAGTTGGAAAAATAACCCAACATTTGATGTGCTCGTGGGACTTACCTGAAGGCAAGCTACTCCTATGCCAACAGCTCCCATTATCAAAAGGTGATCTGCCAGGAACTGTTCCAGTTTTGTAATGCATCCTCCCTGCGAACAAAATCATTGTGTTTACTATGAGGGATAATTCAACGATGTTGACAAGATTTAATCCCCATTTCCTCCCTCTCACACACAGCTTTTATAGTTGTCACAGACAGGAAATAAAAGCTCTTTAGTGTGTATAGAGTTACAGCCTATAGCCTTAAAATCAAGAGGAATGATGATGGGGGGAAAATTCTACATTGACAGTAAAGCCAGGGAGGGTCAGTTCTGTTTGTTGTGAGGTTTTTAACTCTGCAAATGATCAACAGCACACCCAAACTTGAATCCCTTTTGTAAGTCTTGGTCTTGGGATTTGCAGATTACTAGCTGCCTAGTGGTCACAGCACCCTGGTGACTCAACGTGTGCTTTATAGGGAGTTTATTATTTTGTATGGCACTATGTGTGTTTTGTGCTGTTAAAGAATAATCACATGCTAGGCTCTAAGCAAAGCATCTGTATTACAGGTTTGACACTTACCAGGCAGAGGTGGATTTACAGTAAAACACAGGGTGCCCTGGCACAGGGCCCCCCAACGACAGGGGGCCCCAGGTCCGGGCAGCTGCAGGGGCAGAAGCCTGGTCCTGCTGGCTCCTGCTGCAGGCTCCACACCCACCGGCAGCCAAGCTCCCCGCTCCCCAGCCTCTTCCCCGCCTCCTCCCCCGAGCGTGCCACATTCCCGCCCCCCCCGTCCCTCCCAGCACTTTCCCCACTGCCAAACAGCTGTTTGCCGGCACTCAGGTCACTCCAGGAGGAAGTGGGAGGAGCAGGGCCGCAGCATGCTTGGGGGAGAAGGTGGGGAAGAGGCGGGGTCAGGGCCTTCGGGAAGGGTTGGGGGCGGGGCAGGGCGGAACAAAGGCAGGGCCCTCGCATTCCCCTTAAACATACACCGCCCCAACCCCCTGCTGTGAGCCGCTCCGAACAGGAGGCTGGGGTGGGGCAGGGAGCTGGGAGCACCCCCACAACCCCAGCCCACACCCCCAGCCCCCTGCCCTGACTCCTGCACCCCCTTCACACACCCCCAGCCATCCCTGACTCCTGCACCTCTGACACATACCCAGCCCCCCCCACACCCTCTCACGTTCCCTCCTGCACCCCTTGCACCAAACTGGAGCTGCCCCAGGTAAGCGCTCCACACCCCAAACCCCTGGCCCAGTCCTGAGCCCCCTCCCGCACCCTAACTCCTGGCCAGACCCTGCACGCCAACCCCCAGCCTGCTCCTGCACCCTAACTCCCTCCCAGACGCTGCACCCCCAGCCCTGAGCCTCCTACCACAGCCTAACTCCTGGCCAGACCCTGCACGCCAACCCCCAGCCTGCTCCTGCACCCTAACTCCCTCCCAGACGCTGCACCCCCAGCCCTGAGCCTCCTACCACAGCCTAACTCCTGGCCAGACCCTGCACGCCAACCCCCAGCCTGCTCCTGCACCCTAACTCCCTCCCAGACGCTGCACCCCCAGCCCTGAGCCTCTTCCTGCAACCTAACTCCTGGCCAGACCCTGCACTCCAACCCTCAGCCTGCTCCTGCACCCTAACTCCCTCCCAGACGCTGCACCCCCAGCCCTGAGCCTCCTACCACAGCCTAACTCCTGGCCAGTCCCCACACCCCAACTTTTTTACCTTTTTTTTTTTTTTAATATAAAGAACTTATCTTTCTTATCCAAAGAACTTTACAATAGTTAGCCAACAGTACAAACAATATTTGGAAAGATCATTAAGTGGTCTGCCAAGATCCCCAGCAATTTTCAAGTGGTCTGTGGAAAAATAAGTTAGACTGCAAAAACAATCAAGGTACCTCACTTTATTTTCATTTACTTCCTATTATTTATAGGAAGAGGGTGAAGAAAAAAAGAATGAAAAACAGGGGCAAGGAGGAGATAAGAGAGAATGTCCTTTTTCTTGGCTGGGTCCCAAGGAGGGGCCCCAAAAATGAAGCTGAACACAAGGCCCAACTAACTCTAAATCCACCACTGTTACCAGGGGCATCCTGAGGGAGTTAAATGGCTCACGTCTTTGTGGGTGTCTAGGAGAGGGTGTGCTTAAGCTATGGGAGAGTCTGAAGGGTCATTACTGAGTCCAGCAGGGTGGCAGCTGGACAGCAGGTTCCAGCTTTCAGGAAGGGGTCCTAGACAGAAGGTCTTCACCCTGAAAATGTGCCTAGGGATCTCAAGAGTGGGGCAGTGGCTGGGCTCTGTTCAGGCTCCAGATTTAAAACGCTTGGGGACCCAGCAGTTGAGGTCCCTACAGCAGTCTCAGGGTGGGGGGCTCAACTGAGATTTTTGACAGATTGGTACAGATTGAGACAGATACTAGAAAAAGGGTAGGTAGTCCATGGAAGCACAGGTATCTGTTTGAGGTGACAATAGCCTGGACCGAATGTGTGGAAAACCCCTCCCATGAGCTTCACCAGAGAACTAAGCACTGACAAGAATCTCTGGGGAGGCATAATGCTACAGAAAGAAGGATGCAAAACCCCAGTGAAGCCATTTTTCCTTGTTTACAGGTCATAGGCTTTTTGCTGCCTTTCCACCAGGAATGGGCAAAATATTGTCAAATACTCTATCAGCAACGTGTCACAAATCTGCTCACTTTTCCCTACAACATCTCTGCATGATTATTGAACACAAATATTGCAGGCATAATATGCATGTCATGAACTTGTTCCAAATACTGTAACTAGGGCAAACATATTTTCTTTCCACACTGGATGTCATTTTCACTATTTAAAATGGTCAGAATGGACAGCTTCTTGCTATATCTAAGATGCTAGCAGCTGCCAGATAGAGCCACCAACTGGCTGGAACGCTCCCTGCTCTGGAGATTACGCACTTTCTTGTTAGTGAAGTTCCAGTAAGCTTATTTGGAACATCTACTGCAAGCAGAGATGTGGAATTCTATGCTAGTAACAACAGAACAAAGGCTGAAAGCTGAATGTTCCTGAGCAACTGTGCGATAATAAAAACTGGAATGGCAGAGCTCATTTACAGCATATATGCTGGAGAGAAAAAGAGAAAAATGACTGCGTAAAAATGGCACTTTCCGAATTAACCGATCTCCTCTCTGTGTATATTTAGAATAATTTTTCACTCAAGGCAGCAGATGTTAGGAATTTACTGCAGTTTTATTTGCATTAGTTCTGCACAGCCAACACAGCTTGGAGAGAAGGAGCTGGAGTCTATTCTTTCCCAGCAACTCAATTCCAATCAGTGACACCCATGTAACCCCGCTGAAGCTAATGGATTTGCACTGGTGTCGCTGAGGGCATGCTTTGACCTGCAGAACCTTTATTTATTATTTGTACTGAGATAGCACCTACGGGACCCAGGCATGGCCCAGGACTCCACTGTGCTAGGCATTGTACAAAGTCCCTGCCCTGAGGTGCTTATAATCTTCGTCTTCGCATAATAGACTTGATGCGTCTCTCACTTTCAATAGTGTAAATCAGGAGTAACTCCATTGAACTCAGTGGAGTTGTAAGAGGAGCAGGAGAGTCAAGCATAGCACACAGGCAGTGGCATGGAAGCGTTCCACACTTCTGCCTACCAGTGTGCCTCAGTCCCCTCACCATCCAGTCCCCCTGGCTTTCTGTTTTACCTATGGTTATTTAATTCAACAGCATTGTGTAAATCACAATGATGTCGATGCTGTTACGAGGTTAGAGTAATCTCTAATACTTTTGGAATGTTCGTGTTACACAGAAACTCTCTTTTTTAGACTGCATGAAATTAAACTAGTAACTAGTCACAAATCACAGAATATTTGGGGTTCAAGTGGATTTTTAATAGGTCCTCTGTCTACCCCCCCTGCACTGTGGCAGGGTTGATTTTATTTTCCCTACCACATTCTTATTAGAAAAATCTCAATGGCACACATGCAAAGAACAGAGAATAATCTGTACACTTCAAAGTACAGTTTCACTCTGAAAAGTGACTCTAATAATGGCATTGGGGGCAGGAGGGAAGGAGGGAGGTTTCAATATTATTGCCGGTCAGACTCCTGCTTAGTCATGCTTTGTCTGCAAGTAAAAAGCTGTCATCCTTTCAAACTCCACCTGGGCTCTGAGAGGCAAGCTGGACACTTTCATTCACACTAACAGCAACTGTAACAGAGTCAATCCAACCCTTTTCACTAGCATTATATTCACTGTAAAGGTGACCTGCAAAGGAAAAGAAGGTTGGTCTGTTGCCTTTTTGGCTTCATTATAATGCAGAGAGAAGGCCTGAAAGGCTTTAGATGTGTTTGTTGTTTAAATGAGTAATGAAGGTCTTGTCTATCAAATTTATCCTAGAAGATGCTGCGAATGCCTGAAGACCAAGTAGAATTAAGGCATTAAGGAAATCTAAGCGCTTCAGCAGAGAAGTAATTTTTTACTCAAGCTGTTTTATATTCTGTGTTTTGTTCACTTTAAATTCATTTAACTCATATGCCTGAAAAATGGTTGAGAGAAAAGTTCTCTTTGGTAACTTTACCCAAATATACCCACCCTATTGATTGAGATAGCTCCCAACCTACCAAGCCAATTCTCTGATTCCTTGAAGAAGCCCTCCAGCAAGAAACAGGGAAGAGCAAATTTGATGTTCCTGATATTTCTGAGACAAAAAATTAGCAGAAATATTCCCTTTCTATTTATATGTTTTTGTAAAAACTCATGCGTCCTTCTTTATACATCACAGTGAACTGAAACACAGGCACATGTAATGTGAATGACTGACAACTGCTGTGATACCAAATCTAGAACTGACTCCATCTCTATGATTGGGTGGGACAGTCTTAAAGCAGCTTCTGGACAGAGGGTGGTATAAACTAATAAGAACTGAATTTTGATTGGCCAACTCCCCCCCCACCCAGAGAAGCACATCCATTATGGTAACTTTTTAAAGTGCTTATCTGTCAGTGTCAACCAGTAAGCCTTCTAAGGACTTCCATTTTTTCTCCTCCAATGTTTGGAAATGGGTTTTCAGCCGTTAGTTCTGGAAGCAATAAACTGAATGTGTATTAAAAGGAATGTT